AAATGACACAAAGTTTGCCAAAGATATACTGACATAAAACCTTACTAGGGTAGGGTAGTTACTGGATTCGACTGGTTTCTGACTAGTTTTGGTAAGGTCCTACTCCTCCCTTGTACTAATCAAAGCTCGATTCTGATTGGCTAAAATCAGCATTCGGGATTCCTGTGTGAACAGCTTTGATCGCGGAAACTAGTTGGGATTCCTGTGTAAATCACTGATGACGGCAAAAGAAACCAGTTCACTTACCTCGTGATAGTCCGCTGTCAGACAACCACACAGATTCTGGGCTCAAGATTGGCTTTCTTTGGCAAAAAGCTCCGATGGGCCCCCTCCCACAAGACAAAAAGAGCTAATGTGGGTTTCCTGTTCTAAGATTCTCAAAATGGCGGCTATAACGATCGTATTGCAAGCTAAACGGTAAAATACTCTCTATTTCTTTGCCGTGTCTGTAATTTTATTTGAAATGCCACCTATTTTATTATATTTTTGCGAAAATATCTCACTAGTTTCCGGAAACTAGGTGAACTAGTCTGAATCCGCCCCTGAATGATTAACGTTAACATTAAGATAGAGTGACTCAATGGTTAAGCGATTTATTTTACAAATACTCTTTCTAGTCACGTTGAAAGAACTTTGTTTTCTCTAAAGACTACTGAAGGCCAGTGGAAGTAAGAATTTGAAAAATTGCAATTTTTCCTTTCCACATTTTCCTTATTGGCCGGCATTTACACGAGCCAATTTCGTCCTTGACAATTTTTTACTTGTGAAGGAAAAGCGAACATGTTGGGTTTTCCTTGACAAGGAAAAACTGCCCATTTTACCCCATTTACACGAGCAATTTTTCGTTGTCAAAGGAAAAATTGCTCGTGTAAACGTCGCTTTATTATTAATATCAAAAATAGATCAAATAAAAGTTATTGAATTAAAGTGTCCGCATACGGGAGATTGAAAACAATATAATATCGCACAGAATGCCTATTGTTCTTTGGACATTTACTTACGGCAGGCAAATTATCCGAAATAGGCATAATTTGAATAAATTAGTTGCCATAATGTTTCTGATTGGCTACCATCACGGCCCTC